ACTGCACGTCAACTCACTGCACGTCAACTCACTGTACGTCAACTCACAGTACGTCAACTCACTGCACGTCAACTCGCTGTACGTCAACTCACTGCATGACACGTCAAACGCTTCGTGTGCTGCCAAATTTATTGTTAAAAGTTGAGAAGTTTTGTCAACACGGTCAAACACACCTTGAGCCCACACCTGCCTGGCACATGTGAACCCACACCTGCCTCTTGACACTCATCGACCTACACCTTCCTCTTGACACACATGAACCCACACCTGCCTGGCACATATGAACCCACACCTGCCTCTTGACACTCATCGACTCACCTTCCCTCTTGACACACATGAACCCACACCTGCCTGGCACATATGAACCCACACCTGCCTCTTGACACTCGTCGACCTACACCTTCCTCTTGACACACATGAACCCACACCTGCCTGGCACATGTGAAACCACACCTGCCTCTTGACACTCGTCGATCTACACCTTCCTCTTGACACACATGAACCCACACCTGCCCGACACATGTGGACCCACACCTGTCTGACACATGAACCCGTTTGCTTGACGCACGTGGACCCACACCTGTTTCTTGACACACGTGGACCCACACTTGCCAGACACAAGTACACCCACACCTGCCAGACACACGTGGAGCCACACCTGCCAGACACACGTGGCGTCACACCTGCCAGACACACGTGGACCCACACCTGCCACGTCTAGGAGCCTCATTCATGACTCAACAATTTGAGAACATTACTGCACCGGAAGTTCTGATTTGGAGCACTGAGGTGACCACGATGACGAGCGGTAGTCCACGGTGCTGCGGCTGCTGTATTATTGTTGTTGTTGTGGTTGTGGTGTGTGGTGTGTGATGATGGTGGTGGTGTGTGATGATGGTGGTGGTGTGTGATGATGGTGGTTGTGGTGGTGGTGGTTGTGTGGTGTGGTGTATGGTGTGTGTGTGTATAGGTGTGTGGTGGTGTGTGGTGGTGGTGTGTGTGTGTGGTGGTATGTGGTGTGTGGTGTGTGTGTGGTAGTGTGTTGTGTGTGTGTGTATAGTGTGTGTGTGTGTGGTTGTGTGTGGTGGTGGTATGTGTGTGTGTATGTGGTGAGGTGGTGGTTGTGTGTGGTGGTTGTGGTGTGGTTGTAGGTGGTGTGGTGGTTATGAATAGTGGTAGGAGAACAGATCCACCTAACATAATCCAAACTGTTGTGTGTGTGTGGTGTGTGTGTGTGTGTGTGTGTGTGTGTGTGTGTGTGTGTCAGTCTCACTCCTTCCTCTACCTCAGCTGAAACAAACCACTAACCAAATCCAACCCAACCTAACCTAAACCAACCTGACGAGGACTCCGCAAAACTACAGGAAGATCTAAACAAATTTTTCGAATGGTCGGAAAAATGACAGATGAAATTCAATGTGGACAAATGTAAAGTACTCAGTATAGGAGACGTAAACAGGGAAGCCAGATAACAGATGAACAACGATGCCATAGAGAAATCCGACTGCGAGAGAGATTTAGGAGTAATGATAAGTAGGAACCTTAAGCCAAGTAAACAATGTGTTTTTGCTCGTAACAAGGCTAATAAAGTACTTGGGTTCATACAAAGGAGTGTTAGTTACAAGACTAGCGAGGTCATCCTAAAACTGTATCTTGCTCTTGTGAGACCTTACCTGGATTACGCAGTTCAGTTCTGGTCACCGTATTACAGAATGGATATAGAATCCTTGGAAAGAATTCAGAGGAGAATGACAAGACTAATCCCGGGCATTAAGAACCTTGAGTATAGAGACAGGTTAAAGCATCTTAATTTGCACTCCCTCGAGAGACGTAGAGCGAGGGGCGGCCTGATAGAGGTGTATAAGAGGAAGTCAGGGCTAAACAAAGGGGACATTACAAAGGTACTCAAACTATCCAACCAGGAGCGAACTTGTAACAATGGTTTTAAATTAGACAAATTTAGATTTAGGCGTGAAATAGGTAAACACTAGTTTGGAAACAGAGTAGTGGATGAATGGAACAAGTTACCAAATATCATCATTAACTCGAATACGCTAAATAGCTTCAAACATAGGTTGGATGCTTATATGAGCAAAAGGGGTTGGGTGTAAACGGGACTGCCCAGTATGGGCCAATAGGCCCGCTGCAGTTTCCTCCAATCTTATGTTCCCAAACCTAACCTAACCATCGTCATATAAACCCTGAACTTCAAAATCTCCTAAGAGTTCCCACCACTAACTACAAAATCAACTAACAACTACGTATATAAGTCACAACAGAAAAACGAACTAAATACAGAAGTTTAACCCAGTGCAAGAGAATCCGTAATCACATATTAAATATTTTAAATGGAAACTTGAGATTGAAACCTTATCATGACAATACTCAACAATGTTAACTCTCCTCTCCTCGCTGGATGACAGCTCACCCCTACACCATATGGGTTGGGTTGGGTTGGGTTACATCAAGAGCCCAGTTTACCTGTAACCTTTGTAAAACTGACATTGCTGTAGGTAACGAGGAGAGTGTGGCTTTAAAGAGCGCGCGCGCACACACACACACACACACACACATTCACTTCCTCCAGCACTCACTGTCTTGTCAGCTTTCTCGACTACATATACCGCCATCTGGAGAAACGAAAAACGTCTGTAGCTGTCGCCTTCATTGACTTCACACTAAGGCATTTGACCTAGTCGACCACAATTTAATCATCAACAAAGCTATTGACCTCGGGTATCGAAGAAGTCTTATACCATGACTTACAGGCTTTCTCAGTAACCGACGCCAAGCTGTACGCTTCCGAGGGGCTGTCTCCCAAGGCACCAAGGCACCAAGACGGGACCATTATGCTTCCTTATGCTCATCAATGATGCCCTAAGAGAAACCCCTGCTCGCTGGAAATATGTCGACGACTCCACCATTGGGATCAGAGTCAACAATTCTGCTCCCGACTATACCGCCCTTCAGGATTTATTGAACAGTCTCCAAAACTGGGCCACCAACAACCACGTCACCAACAACTATACCAAGACCATGGTTATGCACATCAACCTCTCCTCCGACGTTGTCCCACCCCCTTCCATTACTTTAGGTCCCAACACACTCCAGGTTGTAGATTCCACTAAACTTCTCGGCGTCACCATAGACAACAAACTAAATTGGAAACCACACGTCAGTGAAGTTGTCAAATCCTCTAGTTTCTGTCTCCACCTCCTCCGCCGACTCAAGTCCCTCCGAGTTCCTGCACCCGAGTTCCTCAGTGTTTACTCAACATTCATACTTTCCCAAGCTCACCTATGCCTCCCCTACTTGGTCTTCCTCCCTAAATGCCACACAACGTAAACACCTAGAAAAAGTGCAAAAGAGGGCATGCAAGATTATTCTCTCCCCTTCCTACTCCACATATCAAGAAACGCTCAACACACTGACCCCCTCGGCTCTCACTGACCATCACCACGACCTCATCTGCAAATTTGGTGAGAAGCTTCTGCACCATCGACAACGGCTCCTACTACCACCTGAGATCCCTCGCCCGAGAATTGCTGTTCGACACCACAACCGCATCCAACCCATACGAGTACGAATGATCGCTATAAGAACAGCCCAGTCCCAACCATTGTAAAAATTAACAATAACTTGTAATCAACCAGTGTGTTCATTCCCAGTCAATCTTACCTTTTTGCACTGTCACTATGTTGAAATGCCCTGTAGTTTGAGCTTCTCCCCACCTAGTTATAATATATCATATTTTTATCACTTATGTTACTTGTATATTATTTGTATATCAAGAGACCCATTCAACAATTGTGTAACTGTATATTTTCAGCCTTCTGGCTGACATGCTCTTTCAATAAACCGTTTATTATTATTATTATTATTATTATTATTATTATTATTATTATTATTATCATTATTATTATTATTACACACACACACACACAGGTGATGGTTGACGGGACACGTGATATAGTCAGGTACAGTACATGTATATGAACACTGTATCGGCGGTGACCTGAGCCTGTGGGGAGGGGGGTGGAAAGCCCGGCCAACCCACACGCGGCTCAGTGCCAAGTCAAAGGTCACGTGTGGCACTGCTGGTGGCACTGGAGGTGAGAGTAAAGGTGATGAACCTGACTACAGTTTCTACTCACCAGCAACCGACCGTTTTGTATTCCATGATATTAATAATAGGTTATATTAACAACAACAACAACAACAACAACAACAACAACAACAACAACAACAATAATAATAATAATAATAATAATAATAATAATAATAATAATAATAATAATAATAATAATAATAATAATAATAATAATAGTAATAATAATAATAATAATAATAATGTAAGAAAAAATAATGATAATAACAACGACTACAACTACAACATTAATAATAATTATAATAATAATAGCAACAACAACAACAACAACAACAATAATAATAATAATAATAATAATAATAATAATAATAATAATAATAATAATAATAATAATAGCAACAACAACAACAATAATAATAATAATAATAATAATAGCAACAACAACAACAAAAATAATAATAATAATAATAATAATAATAATAATAATAATAATAATAATAACACACGTATTATAACTATTAGAGATAAGAAAAGCATTACAGTAACTGGTAAATAATGGTGTGTGTGTGTGTGTGTGTGTGTGTGTGTTGGTTGGTGGCTACACAATAGGATAAAGCTGATGGGACCCGTGTGCACCTAGACACCCCCAGGCCGGCCACTAAAACTGAGGATTTGCTTCGTGTATGTCAGGGTTCAGGTGTTAGGTTAAGGGTGAGTTGGGTTAAGGGAGAACTAGCTTAAGGGGAGGAGGCCAGTAGGTTAGATTAAGCTTAGTCTTGAGTTTGATTGAGTTAAGATTTGGATTGGTTTGGGTTGGGTTAAATTACGCTTGGGTTAGGTTAAGTTAGGGGTCACAGTTTAAATGGTCTCAATCTTAATAGGCCCCCAATTATTAAAGGTACGTAAGACTGGGGCATGCTTGGACTGGGGCATGGGTTGGACTGGGGCATGCTTGGACTGGGGCATGCTTGGACTGGGGCATACTTGGACTGGGGCATGGTTGGACTGGGGCATGCTTGGACTGCGGCATGGTTGGACTGGGGGGCATGGGGATTTGGACTGGGGCATGTGGTTGGACTGGGGCATGGTTGGACTGGGGCATGCTTGGTTCAGGGGCCCACTTGGACTGGGGCATGGTTGGACTGGGGCATGTCTTGGACTGGGGCATGGTTGGACTGGGGCATGCTTGGACTGCGGCATGGTTGGACTGGGGCATGCCCGGACTGGGGCATGGTTGGACTGGGGCGTGCTTGGACTGGGGCGTGGCGGACTGGGGCATGCTTGGACTGGGGCATGCTTGGACTGGGGCATGCTTGGACTGGGGGCCCTTGGACTGGGGCATGTGGTTGGACTGAGGGCCCCGCGCTTGGACTGGGGCATGCTTGGACTGGGACATGGTTGGACTGCAGCATGGTTGGACTGGGGCATGGTTGGATTGGGGCATGCTTGGACTGGGGCATGTGGTTGGACTGGGACCCCGCTTGGACTGGGGCATGTGGTTGGACTGGGGCATGCTTGGACTGGGGCATGCTTGGACTGGGGCATGCTTGGACTGGGGCATGCTTGGACTGGGGCATGGTTGGACTGGGGCATGGTTGGACTGGGGCCCGCTTGGACTGGGGCATGTTTGGATGGGCATGTTTGGACTGGGGCATGTTTGGACTGGGGCATGCTTGGACTGGGGCATGCTTGGACGGGCATGCTAGGATGGGCATGCTAGGACTGGGGCATGCTTGGACTGGGGCATGCTGGACCAATGCTTGGACTGGGGCATGGTTGGACTGGGGCATGGTTGGACTGGGGCATGCTTGGACTGGGGCATGGTTGGACTGGGGCCCGCTTGGACTGGGAGCCGGGAAAGTGTCTCAGATTTAGTCCACACTTCCGGGCTGACAGTAACACACGATCTTTAACCTTAGGCTCTGACATACTGCCTGAAGACCGACTCTCACCTGCCGGGGAGTCATTACACTATCGAGCCGTTTTACCTGAAGGATCTCCAACCCGACTTATTTCACCGGAGGATTAACCACCATAACCCAACCCAACCTGAACTAATCTAACCTATCCTAACCTGACCTAACCTAACCTAACCCAACCTGACCTAGCCAACCCTTAGGTGAAATAAGGTAGTGAGATTGTTCAGGTGATCTGTATAGACCTGTGACTACTGTATGTATGTGGTACGTGTGTGTGTGTGTGTGTGTGTGTGTGTGTGTGTGTGTGTGTGTGTGTGTGTGTGTGTGTGTGTGTGTGTTCAAGAGATGCCAGGTACAGTCACCGGTACGAGCCAGTACAGTGTAATTACATTTTATTTCACCTGAAGATAAACCACCCTATACCTTATTTCACCTGAAGATAAACCACCTATACCTTATTTCACCTGAAAATAAACCACCCTATACCTTATTTCACCTGAAGTAAACCACCCTATACCTTATTTCACCTGAAGATAAACCACCCTATACCTTATTTCACCTGAAGGTAAACCACCCTATACCTTATTTCACCTGAAGGTAAACCACCCTATACCTATTTCACCTGAAGTAAACCCCTATACCTTATTTCACCTGAAGGTAAACCACCCTATACCTTATTTCACCAGAAGAACCAACCCTATTCCTTATTTCACCTGAAGATAAACCACCTACCTTATTTCACCTGAAGGTAAACCCACCCTATACCTTATTTCACCAGAAGATAAACCACCCTATTCCTTATTTCACCTGAAGATAAACCACCCTATACCTTATTTCACCTGAAGGTAAACCACCCTATACCTTATTTCACCTGAAGGTAAACCACCCTATACCTTATTTCACCTGAAGATAAACCAATCCTATACCTTATTTCACCTGAAGGTAAACCACCCTATACCTATTTCACCTGAAGATAAACCACCCTATTCCTTATTTCACCTGAAGATAAACCACCCTATACCTTATTTCACCTGAGGTAAACCACCCTATACCTTATTTCACCTGAAGGTAAACCACCCTATACCTTATTTCACCAGAAGATAAACCAACCCTATTCCTATTTCACCTGAAGATAAACCAACCCCTATACTTTATTTCACCTGAAGGTAAACCACCCTATACCTTATTTCACCTGAAGGTAAACCACCTTATACCTTATTTCACCAGAAGATAAACCACCCTATTCCTTATTTCACCTGAAGATAAACCACCCCTATACCTTATTTCACCTTGAAGATAAACCACCTATTCCTTATTTCACCTGAAGATAAACCACCCTACCTTATTTCACCAGAAGATAAACCACCCTATACCTTATTTCACCTGAAGATAAACCACACCTATACCTTATTTCACCAGAAGATAAACCACCCTATTCTATTTCACCAGAAGATAAACCAACCTATACCTTATTTCACCAGAAGATAAACCCTATACCTTATATTCAGAAGATAAACCACCCTATACCTTATTTCACCTGAGGATAAACCACCCTATACCTTATTTCACCTGAAGATAAACCAAAACCTATACCTTATTTCACCTGAAGATAAACCAAAACCTATACCTTATTTCACCTGAAGCTAAACCAACCTATACCTTATTTCACCTGAAGATAAACCACCTACTAACCTAACCTAACCTTCAAGTAATGCTATATTCATTTAAGAACATTATTAACATTTCACGTCATTAAATACATAACATTGATCCCGTTAAAGCAAAATGCCTTTATACTGTACAACGGACCAACGAACACTCGATCAGTACAGCGGTTCATTAAGCACATGCAACTCTAACACTTGTGATGTAATCGTTAATTTTACCTTGTCAAGCCAAGTGTCAAGGCACATTCGATCTCATCTCATCTCTCTCAACCAGCGTGGGTCCACCTTGAGTCTACCTTGGAGATACCTCGAGCCTACCTGGAGAATATCTTGAGTCTACCTGGGGTATACCTTGAGTCTACCTGAGATACCTCGAGTTTACCTGAGTATACCTCGAGCCTACCTGAGTATACCTCGAGTCTATTTGAGTATACCTCGGCCTACCTTGAGTACTACCTCGAGTCTACCTGAGTATACCTCGAGTCTACCTGAGTATACCTCGAGTCCACCCAGGCATACCTCGAGCCTGAGTATACCGAGTCTACCTGAGTATACCTTGAGTCTACCTGAGTATACCTGAGTCTACCTGGAGACACCTCGAGTCTACCTGGAGTATACCTTGAGTCTACCTGGAGGTATCTTGAGTCTACTCCGGAGTATACCTCGAGTCTACTTGGAGTATACCTCGAGTCTACTCTGGGTATACCTCGAGTCTACCATGTTGTCATCGAGTCCTTGGCCACTGCTCGTACACTCTCACCCAGAAAGAAAATCACATCACCACACGAGTAATGACACAACATAACAACACTTCACAAACACCTCAGGTAAGGGCTGAGGTAATTAGGGAGAAGATTAAACACATTACTGACCTGTAGAAACACTAAAGGATCTTCTACTTGTCTGTATTCACCTTATCTTCTTCTACTTCCCTCTTCCTCTTTTCCTCACACTCCTTCTTATTCCAGTGGCACCCTCCATCCCTCCCCTCTTCTCTCCCTCCTCCTCCTCCTCTTCTTCCATGTTCATTCCCTCCTCCCCCATATCCTTATTCCAGTATTATCCTCCCTCATCTCCCTTTCTTCATCCCACCTCCTCTTCTCCTCCTCCCTATCCTTATTCCAGGAGCATCCTCCCTCTCTCCCTTCCATCCCTCCTTCTCCTTCTCCTTATCCTTATTCCAGTGGTATCCTCACCTCCTCTTCCTTCCTTCCTTCCCCCTCCTCTTCTCTCCTCCACCCCCAGGTATGTCCCCAGGGTCAGGCTGGGTCACGGATGTCCTAAAACGTACAGGAACGACCATACGCATTATACTGCCCTTAGTGCACCCTTACCCCGGTGCTCTCCCAATCCACTTTTTATACTTGTAATTTCCAACACTTAAAACTTTTACTCCCGTGACTAATCGAATGAGTGTGTGTTATGTTTATGTTATGTTGCTATATGTTATGTTATGTTATGTTGCTATATGTTATGTTATGCTACTAGCGTTATGTTATGTTATGTTACGTTACGTTATGTTACGTTATGTTATGTTTTATGTTATGTTATGCCACGAAAAAACCACCCACCCCACGCCACGTTTATGCTATGTTAGCGCTATGCGCGTTATGTTATGCTCATGTTGCTATGTTATGTTATGTTATGCCCCCATATGTTATGTTATGCTCTATGTTATGCCATGTCTTATGTCATGCTTATGTTATGTTATGTCACACGTTATGCTTCATGTTCTTATGCTATGTTATGTTATATGTTATGTCATGTTATGTCACATATGTTATGCTGCTATACAAATATGTTATGTCATGTTGCTATATGTTACGTTGCTATATGTTATGTTATGTTTATGTTATGTTATGTTTTATGTTATGTTATGTTTTTATGTTATGTTATGTTTATGTTATGTTATGTTTTATGTTATGTTATGTTATGTTTTATGTTATGTTTATGTTTTATGTTATGTTATGTTGCTATGTTATGCTATGTTTTATGTTATGTTATGTTGTATGTTATGTTATGTTATGTTATGTTATGTTATGTTATGTTTATGTTATGTTATGTTTTATGTTTATGTTATGTTGCATATGTTATGCTATGTTTTATGTTATGTTATGTTATGTTATGTTATGTTATGTTATGTTATGTTATGTCATGTTATGTTATGTTATGCTATGTTTTATGTTATGTTATGTTGTATGTTATGTTATGTTATTTTATGTCATGTTATGTTATGTTATGATGTTATGTTATGTTGTATGTTATGTTATGTTATTTTATGTCATGTTATGTTATGTTATGTTATGTTTTATGTTATGTTATGTTGTATGTTATGTTATGTTATGCTATGTTACATATGTTATGTTATGTTTTATGTTATGTTAATGTTTTATGTTATGTTATGTTATGCTATGTTTTATGTTATGTTATGTTTGTATGTTGTTATGTTATGTTGCTATATGTTATATCGTGTTTCTATGTTATGTTATGTTTTATGTTATGTTATGTTGTTATGTGTTATGTTATGTTGCTATATGTTATGTAAATGTTTTTTATGTTATGTCATGTTTTATGTTATGTTATGTTTTATGTTGTTATGTTATGTTGCTATATAAATACTCTGATATATACGCTCACACTCACTCACAAAGAGTACTTACATACATACACACTCTCACACATATATCCAACACACATCCATCTCCACACACACACCCAGACCTCCACTCATCCTCCTACCTCTCAACCCCCACCATCCTCTTCACCAACCCCCACACACACTCTTCTCATCATCAAGTCCATTTTACAGCATCTTTCAAGTCCATATTTTCACTCATTATATATCCCGTGAATAAGCCCATAGTTTTTTCAGCCTCACACAATCAATGACACTGTTGGCATTTTTCACACGCTGGATAATGTTGTTGGGTAAAAGGTGTAGCGGGGTGACAAGAGGTGATTGTTGAGGGAAGCCGGCCTGGTATTAATAGCTGAATACGTCAACCTTCAACCTCTGTAAAATATACTTTGTGTGGGGTTGTTTTAGTTGTCGTAATGCGTGGTGAAAAAAAAAGTGCTTTATACATCTATACATAAAAACA